TTTTTTTCTTTTTTTTTTTTCAGGTGCTAAAAATATTATCAGGAAATTCTTTTCAGGAATGCCGTGTTTTAGGTTACGCTCCAGGCTCAAGGGCTTCTTTGTCTTTGCTGGAGGAAAAAAAAAAAAAAGAGAGAAGCAAAACAAACACACCCACCCTACATTTATTATCGGGAAATGGTTTGACTGGGAGAGGCTGAGCTCCCAGGAAAGGATAGGGCTACTCCCAGGGAAGCCCCACTAAGAGCAGCAGTGGTTCTGAATAATTATCAGCTCATTATGGGTTGATAATTGTGCCACAACTCAAAGCTGGATCCCAAAGTCAGCCTGACTCCTGGAATGCCAGAGCATCCACCAGTGGTCCAGGCAACCCTATCTGAGCCCTACTGCTGATCCCAGAGAGCTGACCCTATCACTTTAAAAATCTCTTGGAAGAAAATGTTAAAAGAAAAGGAGAAAAAAAAAAAAAAAGAGAGAGAGGGAGAGAAATCCAAAATAAATAAGCAGCCACATCCGGATTTCTCCCCTAGGACGCTAATAAAGGTTTTATGGGTTTGATATGAATTACCCTCCCTGGCCATTCATGGCTGATTTTCTGGAAGGCATTAGGCTGCACAGCCCAGTCCCAGTGGGATGCAGGGGGGCACTGCCATCCTCCCTGGTTGAAGTGGGGTGCCACGGGGGCACTGCCATCCTCCCCCATGCCAGTCTGTGGCTCTGCCAAGCTCTTCTCTTTATGGTGGTGACTGCAGGGCCATCTTCTGGCTGTCACCCTCTACCACCTCACACCCACCAGAGTGAGCCCTGTGCTCCCAAATCCCATCTCCTGACAGGTCTGCCACAAGCTCAGCTCCCAAGGAACACAGGGATGTTGTGGCAGGACCTGCCCCTCCTCCAGGACCAACCCCACAGGGCCATCCTGGCCTTCTCCTGGTGGGTTTTCCCTCAAGAGAGGGGAAGGGATTTTCTTCCAGGCAGGCTTTGCACAGGAAAGCATCCCCACATTCCCCCCGTGTTGCCCAGCCCAGCTCCCCGGGATGTTAAATTGGAAGCAGTAAATGGAGCAGGGAGAACAGCTGTGGGCCCCAGCTGCAGACATTTCCTCTGGGCCTGGAGCTGGAGCCAGTGCAAAACTGGGCTCTGTGCTGAGAGTGCTGGGGGGAGCATGGGGGAAAGCAGCAGCCCTTTATTCTGCACAACATCTGGCCAAGCCCTGTGCTCCACCACCCACCCCATCTCCAGCACAGATGCCCCTTTCTGCCACCTCCTTTATGGTGTCCAGCCCTCTGATGGCCACCAAAACTGGGCCAGGATCTGCCCCACCCATCCCAATGGGGCTTTGGTGAGGCTGTGTGCAGGTCCCAGGGGTATCCTGGACTCTCCTGGAGATGCTCTCTGGTGAAGAACCACCTCCAGGAGGGAGAGATGGAGACAGAGATCCTTCCACTGACCCCAAGGCTGTCTCTCCCTGGCATCCCCATTTCAGGGCTGCCCCAAACCCACAAGGAGTCACCCCCTGGTTTCTCCCAGCCCCACTACCTCCCACAAAAGGCAGCCCTGGAAAAAAACCACAGGGAAAGAGCACAAACCCTGCCCAGCCCCAGCCCGTGCTGGGGACAGGACATGTGGAGGGGGCCTGGGGAGCTGTTAATGATCCAGAGCGCGTTCAGCACGGATCACTCAGGCAGAGGGGACTGCAGGTCAGCACATGGTTTGGATTTGGCTCTCCCCTCCCTCCCAGCTAATTGGGCCGAGCCCAGAGAGCGTTCCCTGCGGATGCCAAACACGTGTGTGGCACAAGCATCACCTCCTGTGGGGGGGAACGACTCCTGGGAGCTCCTTCCCCAGGGTGGGAGAGGCACCAGGCGGAGCAGGGAGGTGTGTGGGTGTTGGAGGGGAGCTGGGCTTCGGTGAAAGGGTTTGAACTCGCTGCCTGGCCCAGGCTCAAAGAATGCAGCAGCGCAGATCACATGCACGGCTGTGGGTGGTGGGAAGGGGCTGGAGGGCAGCCAGGAGGATGGAGGTTACTGCAACACCCAGCTCCCACTCCCCCAAACCCCCAGCAACGCCTGCTCCACCCCACAGGGCAGGAACAGGGGGGGATCTCTTCCCCTGTCCCCTTTGTCACCTCCTCCTGCCACCCTGGGACCCCTCTGAGCCCCGGGCAGCTGGTGGCCATGTGTCATCTGAGCTCTGGTGGCAGGGATGCCGCTGATGTGTCCCCTCCCTGCTCCTAGGGCAGTCCCAGATGAGCAGAAGGACATGGGGGGTCCCAGGTTCCAAGTTCTGCTCCCCAGGGCTGTTCCCTGGGGGGACACGGTGCCCATGGGACACAGCAAAGGAGTGGTGGCTCTGCCAGTCATTGCTGACACCAGCACAGATGGGGAGTGCAATCCCTGAGATGGACACAAATCCTCTCCCCTGGGGCAAGCCCTGGCCCAAGGCTTTTTCCCACCACTGCAAATCCCAGAGTTTGGAATGCTGAGGGTGCTGCTGGCTCTGGAGGGACGGAGATGCACACCCCAGGGTTTGGAATGCTGAGGGTGCTGCTGGCTCTGGAGGGATGGGGATACAAATCCCAGGTTCTGGAATGCTGAGGGTGCTGCTGGCTCTGGAGGGATGGGGATGCACATCCCAGGTTCTGGAATGCTGAGGGTGCTGCTGGCTCTGGAGGGGTGGGGATGCAAATCCCAGGGTTTGGAATGCTGAGGGTGCTGCTG